AGTAGTTCTAACTATTAGGCCCATTCACTGCAAGAACACAAAAAGAATATTATTATTTGGATGACTACAAAATTGAATTACTACCATTCTAGAAAAATCTAAAATCGACTCAAAGGAAGGAGACTGGATGTAAAGAACCTACCTCTGCATCTTCACCTCCACCAGCTTTGTTTGTGGCATCTCCCTTTTGGGCATCTTCTGTGAAAGGGCAACAAAATTAGTAAAAGTTAGTTTTTCCCTCAGATTCAGTAAATTAGACAATCCATTCATCTAGCTCAACCCCCTAATACTGCTATTGTTATCACGTTTTTATGCCTTGTCAATCTATCTTGCACTGCATTTATCATATATTTCCAAAGGAAATAATTGATCACTGGGGAATAGCATTTTCATTGAAGGGCACATGTAAACTAACTGAAAAAATTGTACAAGTACACAGTCAAACTACAAGCAGATACCCAAGATTTAGCTGAAGGTAACACCAATAGAACTTCATGGTTAATCCTATTTCAAGAAAAGAAACCCATGACATAAGGAAAAACCCTTCAAGAACTAGTACTTCCTTGCCTGACTCCTTTTTTCTCCTTGCAGGAAGAAGCAATGCCACATTTCTTTATCACCCTGAACTTATTTTTTGAAAATAGTGAGTTAGCACTTAGTATTACAATATCATCTTCTTTGTTTCCTTTCTGAAAATCAAGATACCTCGGGAAGGCAATGGCACACAATTCAAAATTCATTTAAAAATGGGCCATCCTTCTACTACATACAAGATTTCTATGTGTCAGGGTTTGAGCCTATGACGACTGCCCAACTCGCATATCACATGCTATCCTCTTTCTTTACATTTAGACCAAAGCCCTTGGGGCAGTTCTCTTAATGCTTATCTAAAAGGTTGTAGAACCAAATTAGTTTTTTCTGTAGACATCTCACATGTGATTAAGCTATCAAAACCACTGAAGAATTATAGCAACTACTAGCGGAAAAGACCAGCAAAAGATCTCAACCAAGCCTGAGAATAGTAATTTCAAGCTAAAGAGATAATTATACGAAACAAATAAGTAAATAAATAAAGTACCGTCGACCAGGAAATTATGAACATCAGGAAAACTCTAGATTATACAAACGCCAAGGTGTCAAAAGATATTAGGATATGAGTGTCAAAGCATACCAGCATCCTCTGGAAGATCAGAAGTCCACAAGGTGAGGTTGTCCCTTAGAAGTTGCATAATCAAGGTGCTGTCTTTGTAGGAATCCTCATTCAGGCTATCCAGCTCAGATATTGCTTCATCGAAGGCCTGTTTTGCAAGATGGCATGCCCTGGAGAAAGAAACAGATTATAATCAGCTCAGCCTAGAAACAAGTACAGACACAACGATTAAAAAAAGGTATGGACAGCTACAAGAAGATGAAAATACAAAAGACAAACCTTTCAGGTGAATTCATGATCTCATAGTAGAAAACAGAGAAATTTAAAGCCAGTCCCAGACGAATGGGATGAGTGGGTGCTAATTCCGCCTCCGCAGCAGTTGTAGCTGCCTATACAAGTTTTAGCAACAAACAATAAGTGGAAGCAGACAGACAGACATATATATCACCAAACTAATAGGGGATTCAACATCTAAATGCAGCAAACATAATTGGAGAAAAGGAAAAAAAGGGAAAGAAGCTCTCAATGAAAAAATGCATGTTAATAAAATTACAAACTAACTCCTGTAAGATCAACGTAATTGGCATTGACATACAAAGGGGTCTTCACTTTCACCCCAAGTAACCCAAATTGTGGCACATTTTCCATTGTTCTGCAATGGTATTTGTTGCTAATACAAATTACCCCAAATAGCGGCACAAACTTCATTGGTTTATAAAAGAATTTAAAAATATTTAATGGGAAAAAATCAGTAAGATAGTTAATACCACATTTGCATCTTTTAAACCCCAGTAACTCAACAATGGCACATACAAGAATTGGGTTGCAGCCTACTGGTAGCTACTCTGACCCACATATCTTAGATGCAGATTCTAGTCCATAAAAAAGACACTCCCTCTTCAACCTTCCTTCCACTATTCACAGGCCTACCCCCACCCAAAAAAAGTTCTTAAATAATGGGAAACAGACTATCCTGGTCAAAGAGGACTGTGATAATACCCAAGCCAATGTAAACCAAAAGAAAAGTAGGCTCTAAGTTTTGGTGGGGCTTTAAGCGCAAAATGCAAATAAAGTGTGTGATTTAAGAAAAAGTACTTGTTTCATTCTAAGACATGTTTTTGAACAAGCAAACTCCTCTCACTTCGCAAGTCAACCACTCAGAGACAATCGAACTACTTTTGCTGCTCAACTTTTTACTTGTACTTAAGAACTGCTTTGAAGTATATATGTATATGTATATATATATAACAAGTAAAGAAGCACTATTCTCAGAAACAGCAAATATTTGTTTATGACAGATTAGAGACGAGAAAAAGTTCAAATTAAAATTACATTTAAGAGACACTGATTCTAACCCCAAGAAAGAAGAGATTCAAGGGATTAATGATAACATCTGGGCGTTTTCCACTATCAAGAATAAGGGGGAGAATGGGAACTGAAATGTGCGACACTCTATTTTCGAGAAGCCAGGTCGCAAGCAAACCATATACCTGATATGCTTTCAATGAAAGCTCAGCAACCTCCTTCTTGTCATTGCCAGCTTTAAATTCTGCAAGATAACGATAATAGTCTCCCTTCCTGCGAGCAGAGACAGATCATCTTAACAACTCCAGTTTGCTAAACTTCCCAAAACAACATATACTTATAACTCAGACCGACAACAAACAGAAATCAGAACCCTTACATCTTGTGGTAAAACACAGTTGATTCGCCTGCAGAGCATGACGGAATTAGATGCTGATCAATGACCACCATAATATCATTGCAAATGTTGGTGAGCTCCGACTCCACCTTTTGCAGGTACTCCTTGATTCGCTTGACATTTTGCTCGTTTCCTCTAGATTCTTCCTTCTGCTCAATAGAGGACAAGATCCTCCAAGATGCTCTCCTAGAACCTACCACATTCTTATAACCAACAGAAAGAAGATTCCTTTCCTCCACAGTCAATTCAACATCCATGTTTGCGACATTTTTCATCGCTTCAACCATTTCTGTACCACAACTCACAATTCCTTAAAATCTCAACCAATTACATAAAATATGAAACCTAGTTACATTTCTCATAGATTAAACCAAACAAATCAATAAAAGGTAATCTGTGTAGAACTTCCAAGCAGATAAAAAACATTTGCTAACATATTAATTCAGAATTCATTTTTTAAAAATCCTTAATACATCAAAAGTGCCAATCTGTATCATATCAACGAAATCTCAAATTCCAAGTAACTAAATATCCATTTATGAGTAATTCAACATTCTTCAGGCGCATCAACCCTATCCGTACAAATCCTTAAAGGTACTAAATTCCTACAACCAACATAAAACAATCAGAGACTAAAAGAACTTTTATTGCATTTAACCGAAGTGGATCAACAAAAGTTTATGTGCGCTCAACTTCTGACCTAAGTCCGTTTGCTGATATATGAAACTTCAAAAGCACCAATTGTTGCATCTCAATAAAATCGACTTATGAGTAACTCAACCTCCAATCGGATCAACCATCTCTGTACTAAAGACCTACAACCTACATAAAATAACTAGAGCCTAACTGCATTTAACCAAAACGGATCAACAAAACTTAATCCAGGCTGACCTAAGTCCATTTACGAATATATAAAACTTCAAAACATCGAAAGCAACAAGCTCAGCATTTCAGTAAAATTTTACATTCTGAGCAACAAAAACATAACTAACAGTTCCATTTCCGAACCTTTTCTGAGTAATCACATAACAAATACATCAAATTAAAGCATATACTCAAAAGGAACATAAACACTAACAGATCTACACACAGTAAAAAGTAGAAACCCTAACCATCGTAGCGTTCGGCTTGCTCAGCGAGCTTAGCGACGTAGACGAAGTTCTCACGTTCTTTGGAAGAAGCCATTTCCGATCTCTCTCAAATTGAAATCAAAGATTTTTTGTAGTGAAAACAGAGAGAGATTTTGCTCTATTCTCTCCCTTTTTGCTTCTCTGGTTCTGTGTGAATGTGCTTTCTCGATGACGATTTTACGGCAGTAGCTACAGTGAGTGGAGATTTATCTAACAAGGGCTTCCTTAAAAGGGAAATACCACTTCTCATCCTTTAACTTTTGTGTATTGCTTCAACAGCCCCTAGAGAAGTTCAAATTAAATTTAACCCCTCCAAAACTATTATGTTTTACACGATTGTCCTGTTAATTGGTGACAAATAAAATAGATTGAAACCCTTTTAACTTTTCAGGTTTACTTTAGGGGTCCTTATGAGAAGAATCTATGTTTTATAAAATAATATTTTCCCCGTCTCATTATATGTTGCACTATTTGGATCAGCATGAAATTTAAGAAATAAATGAAGATTTTGAATTGTTTATCGAATTGTCCTTTAAAAAAGGACTCATTTTTCTCTCTCATTATGAATGTATTAAAGTACTATTTAAAATTAAATAGGACCAATAAGGATAAAAGAGAAATTATAACTATGCAGATTTTTAAAATATTAATCAGACGAACTCCTTTTCTTTTTAGTTTGTTTAAAAAAAATGACCTTTAACTTTTTTTTAGTACCATTATAATAACAACTTTCCACATAACATGTTTAAGACCACAAGATTAAAGAACAATTTTATACATTTGATCTAACTTTAATTTAAGACCACAAGATTGAAATTTTTTTCTTTATATTCTTGAACTCCGTGCCAAGTCAAATTAGATTATTCTTTTTGAAACGAAGGGAGTATAAGTATAACTTGTTTCTCATCAATCTATCAATTGTGCACACAATAACTTGTTTCTCATCCATCTATCAATCGTGCCCTTGTGTGCACAACTTCAATCAAGATTTTACTAGGCTAAAGGAAAGCAAGAATAATATGCACAAATAAACCTTTTTTATAAATTTGTGGCTGTTTCATATATAGAATATGCAGAACTCAAGTAATCAAGTCCACTATCAACTGTTCATACATTTTGCCAAAAGCCAAAACATAGCCATTACCTAAAGTCAGTAAATCAAGTGCAATATAGCTAACTAGTTAACAAAGAGCTTTTGTTCTTTCTTTCTTTCTTCACAAGCATCTCCAACACAATTATCTGTTCATTTATCAGGTAAAACTAAGCTCTCTTTGTAATAATCGACATAATGCGGAATGTGACACCAACCATTTGTAGAGTGACCATGGCCAACATCTTCAAACTTTTCAACTACATGATCAACTGAAACCAATAACCTACAGCTCAATTTCCATATTATTTCACCGTTATTCCTTATAGTCATTGGCTTCACCAATTTATGAGTAACCACACATCTTTAAACTTTTCAACTACATGATCAACTGAAACCAATAATCTACAGCTCACTTTCCATATGATTTCACCATTATTCCTTATAGTCATTGGCTTCACCAATTTATGAGTAACCACAAGCTCATCTAGATCACACCTTACATCATAATAGTTAACTAACCCAGAACTGCTTCACCATGTATCTGCTGCACCATACTCTCTCATCATCCAAATCTCAATAGGTTTACTTTGATTATAGTTACTATCAACCAGACAAAGTGATTCCTGTTAACACAAAAAGGAACATTTCATCAAAATGTACTCGTACATCAATCGTTAAACTACTTGGCAACATCATTTCTAAGAATGTATCATCATGCATGTCAAACAAAACAATCGTGTTTCTCTGAGTTGGTTCTTCTAATTCTTCCCCACTTGGAAGTAATCCAATGGGAAGAGCCATTCAGATATAACTGTGGTGTAGAGCAAGAGAATTGATAAGACAGAGCAACATGATGACTTATGTCTTTCTATACACCAGTGCTTAGCTTATAAAGCTCTATATACGGCGTAAGACAAAAAGTTGTGTCTACTATTCTTACCACCTTGTAGTCATTAGTAACACAATCAAATCCAAACCCCTGTACATGAGCACAGATACTACATGTCTCAAATGTATACATTGGTGTTGGGAGATTAACAAATTTTCTAATGGATGGGTTCCAAAGATAGAAATGATTCGGGTAACTCCGGTTATCGTCCACCAGACACAAAATTCCATTACAACTACCTGCAATATTAAGGTAAGTGCTAGTCCACTCAAATGGCAAATCAAAGTAGACATTGATCCAAATTCTCATTGTCATGGAACAAAGCATATATTTTTTCTTCTGGATTTTTAGAGTCATATTGCATTATGATGTGATTCATGTTTTGGTTTTGGTTAAGGTGTGTGGAGATATAATTGGGGCTAGTAAGAAGAGAGAATCATGACTTGCAAACACTTCTAGATAGAAGGATTGACTTGATTGGTAGTTTTATGAAGATGTCAATCATCAATTCTTGTGGCAAATAATCTGACATTTTTTTTCTTCAAGTGGTTAAGAAGTACTATTTCTTTTCTTCTACGTTTTATTTGTGAGATGTTCAGTGGTCACTTTGAACACACAAAAGACTTTTGGGAGGCCAATGTGGTACACTTGGGAAGAGACAAAAACAGTTCTAGTTCTCTATTTGAGACTCTTCAGTTCCACACACTTTTTATATGATCAACATCAGTACCAACAATATGATTTTAAAGTGCGTGAGGTTTCTGAAACTGTAGCTACAAAATAAATTTACTTATATGTTAGAGGTTGAGCTGGTCTTGGATCCAAATAGATAAATAAATATTTACGATAATGGATGAAATAAAATTATTATGGCTGAAATTTAATTTGGCAGCAACTCACGTCATGAACAGCATCTGGGATCGGTTTAATTTGGTTTTCACCTGTAAAACTGAAAAGCAAAATCACTTCAATTGAAATGGTTGCGTATATCATATTCGTAACAAAAAATGGCATGAATAGTTTATTACTTTTGTATCAATAACCCAGACAACATCTATGGTACTGTTAGGTAGCCAATATACCTAAAAATATAAGTTTTAACTTGCTTTTCCTATTAAGAACCAATATTTGTTTTGCATTTCTTTTGTTAAGAGCACTACTTCAGCTGAGCAATCTGAGAAGAAAAAACCAAATTTGACAAAAAAAATGGAAATTGAAAGAAAAAACGAATAGGAAAGAGTAAGAAAGCTCTTCTCTGTGTTAGAGCAACAATGTTCTGGGTGCAGCAGGCATGAAAGGCATATCAGTGGAATAAAAACTCTGTGATAGCTGATGGGATGAACTGAAATAAGCAAAGAAAAATATGTCAAAAGGAAATATCAATATTGCCCTTGGTTGTAACATCAAGTTTCATTTATTATACGTCGGCTACAAGTAGAAAGACCAAAATCATCTTTTAAGACTCCCTCTCCTCCGACAGGAAAAATCTGCAAATATCAGAATAAGCAAAACAGGCTCACATACCTTAAGAGTGTTGAGCCAGTGTCATCCAAAGTTCACTTGGCAGCAGAATCATTGCTGAACAAGCCGTTGTGCCAACATCTAAGAGCTCGTTGATGAAATATCGCTTGTTCAACAATGGTTGTGCTGTCAAAGGACCTATAGATTAGCTTATGGTTAGATCCAATGGTCACACATCCAGAACTCTGAAGAGAATAAGATAAATCAGTTGGTTAATAATTAGATACGTAGATTATGTCCAATGGAGGAAAATACTGCCAGTAAGATAAGTAGCGATATGAAGCGACAAAACACTGATGTATGAAATGACCAATGACAGTCTCAAAGCCATTCAGTTTATGTGGAGTCAAGGCTGTGATTTGAGGACGTACAACGAGAATAAGTTACTGAACTCTAATTTGATTAATAGTGCTATATTTGGCATGCGGTGTCAAATTATCTTAACCATATGAATGGCACAACAAAATCCAAAAGGCTCGTATTCAAATCATTTTGCACAACAAAATTTAGATACTCTAAAAGGTGCAAGGAGTGAAAGAATGAGAACGCATGATGGTTATAATTAAACATGAGACAATTGTATCGTTTGTTGTTGTTTAATGATATTTTTCACATTTGGTTTGACTTTGTGTTGTATTATAACTGGTAAGTTTACTAAAATAGCCTAAACTATTGTATGCATTAAATTTATCACCAATTTAAAAAAATAAAAATTAAGACATCGTGTTTCTGCTAATTTTTTTGCCGACTTCCCTTGCCTACACTGTATCGACATAAACTACTAAATATCACATGCTACATAGAAGCTCCACTTCACAAAAAAAAAACGAAATACGCTACTCGAACACAATTATCATCAAAAAGAATTTGAAAAATGAAAAGATTCTTTTCTTTTGGATCAAGTATATCATATATGGTCCAGAACTTGAAACAAAGTATTTTTCAACCAGTCATGTTATTAAATTATTAATTGGCCCAGGCTCTCTTAGCATCTATATTATTGTTTGCGTGTTAAAGTTCTTAATAAATATAGTGATGCAAATAAGGAAATGCAAAAAAGGTTCTCTATAAACTGAGATATAGTTAAAGCAGAATAGTAACTTCAGAATATGGTTATGGACAAAAAAAGTACCTGTATGAGCAAATAAAATAGTTGACTATAAAGAAAGAAAAAAAGTAAAAACGTAGGGTATGGGTATTTCGGTGGAGTTAAATAATATAGGGTAAAGCGTAGAATAGAATTATGAAATATTAAGTAAGGACATAATTTGAAAGAGAAATAAGGTAACGACACGATTACAACATTAAATAAAAGGGCGCTTTTCACTGTTACGTAATGACAGAATATAATATATTTTAGTTAACAATCAAAATAAACATTGAATATACGATACAACAATACAAACACAATGTAAAACAAACCTTTAGTAATGGACGGCTTAGCTGTATTGCAGTTTTTATTACAAGCACCTGATCTTGAACCTAATATAAAAATATTTGTCAATAAATATTAATGAATTTTTGTAGATTCGGCTGAAGTTATGACAACTTTCAGTAACTTACCTTCCGTATAGATAGAATGAAGACTTCCTATGTAAAAAGCGGGAAATGAGGGAAGCTCAGTAACTGTGTGGATCAGGTAATGATCAGAATAGATGTTCAGAATAGTAAGTCAAAAGACATATTCATGCAGAGGAAGAAGTAAGCATTTGCGCAAAACGGTGAAATAGAGTTTGTGTTTTTTTGAAAAAGGGTAGTTGTAAAACGGTGTGTCCTATCCAGAGTTTAATTAATTTTAGATCTGATATGTACCAGTTTTGGAAGTCTAGCAAGAGTTTTTCATATTAAGAATACGCTTTTCATTAGCTATCGTTAATTGGTAGAGTTCACGGCACCTTAAATTTCTATCAGCATATTTCTTATCAGAGTTGGGGTATTAGCTTGTTTGTCCAGAATCCATGGATATTAAATTTGTTGCTCCCAAACTTTTTATTGCTGCAAGTGTTCTATCCCAGTGTTATCAAAGGCAAAAAGCGCAAAAAAAGTTCTAAGGTCCGTTGGGGCTTTAAGCGCAGAGCACAAATAAAGTGTGGGCTTCAATGACAAAAGGCACAAAGAGAGAAAAGAATACAAATATATATGTTTTAGTCCAAGACTAATAACTATAAAACATGAATGACTGAGATATGACCAAAGAAATTGAAAAAAAATTTATGATAAAGTGAAATATTAATTGTATAGTGTCGGTTCTTCAGAAGAGGCTTATTGACAAGGAAAAGTTTGCCTTAAAACCTTAATGACGACACTGAAGCGCACAAAAAGCGAGGCGAAGCGCTCAACACGTTTGAGCCTCACTTCAGGGCTTAAGTGCGTCTTTGATGACACTGTTCTACCCTCTTTACTACTGTTGGACTTGTTTCCCCCAACAATTTATCAAATTAGTATTATTATACAGAAAATTTTGGACAAAGAAAATCTAAAGCAATAAAGTTAACTTTAAACGGACAAGATTTTTTATTAAAAAAAATTCAAAAGGCATGCCACATATTTAGAAAGAAGATCAAGGAGAGAAATGCGTAGTAATCCATGCAATCAAGCCTAATCTTGATCAAGACTTTAGCTAAACACTTGATCTGCAAGTTCAACTCTTTCCTCTACTTCACCTTTTAACCCCAAAGTTGGTAGAAACAAACTAAACTATTGGTAAAATGAAAATCAACCAAACTATCAGCAGAGAAACCAAGTACCAAGTTAAAATACAAATTTAAACCTTTAATGCAAATAGATAACAAATAATAATGGTTTCTATGGAACCTGATAACATGTTATGGAAACATCATCAGGGTGGACTATTCTTGATAAATGGGGTGTACAATAGGAGGCTGACTAAAGTAACAGAGAGGTCAACAGGACCCTGGAAGTGTGTATGAAAAAATGAGGCACCAATTAAGTTGAAATGCTTCACCATGCTAGTAGTCAGAAGAGCTATAACTTGTCGGATTCACGATGTACTAAAAAAGGAAACCTACATTGCTTCATGATGCTCATCATGTAAGAGTTACAGCACAAGGGTGGGCATCATTCGTCAATTTAGCTAAGGTGAACTGGTCTATGCCATAGCCTACTGCTTATCTTTTAAGTTGTTGGATTAGGATGGGAGGTAGTAAGTGCTAGAAGATTTGGTGGTGGAAAACAATACCTGACTTTATTTGGTGGAACATTTGGAAGTAGAGAAATGAGAGGATTTTTGAAGGTAAAGAGAGCTCCATATAGAAGATCAAGTGGACAGTCATAACTTCTTTATGTTCTTGGTGTAAAGAACAATATATAGAAGAGGAAGTTCAGTTAGTTGACTTCACGAGATTACTGCAATTAGTTTCTATAAAGCATAAAATTTTGGATGTGGTAAGCATTAGGCTTACTAGGGAATAAATATGTTTAGATATGACACCAGGGTCTAACTCAGCCTTAAAAGCTAGCTTATGAGGGCAGGTTTGTCCAAGTCCATATAGAACAAATTCCCATTCCTCTACCAATGTGGGACTTCTTAACACTTCCCCGCACACCCAGACCTCAACTAGAGCGTGAACACTTATAAATAGGGGCCCAACATCGGTGAACAACAAATTGGGATGGACCTGACTCCGATACCATGTTAAAATATGACACCTGCACGGCTGCGCCTAACTCAACCTCAAAAGCTAGCTCATGAGGAGAGGTTTGTCCAAATCCACATAAGGAGACCACATTCCCATCGATGTGGGACTTCTTAACAAAAAAATTACCGGTTCAAAAGACTGCAAACAAAACCAGTTCACAGGCATGGTGATGAAGAAGCCAACTGCAAAAAAAGAGTGAGGAGGCTGGAGATGTTCTAGAGTACAAGGAAGCTTCAAAAACTTTGGCAGTGGAAGATAGAATAGGAAACAAAAAAAGATGCAGTGTAAAACCTGGAAGAGAAATCGGAGGAACCTAGCAAGATCTAGATGTTGCATTATAAAGCAAATGGCATTATAGAGCAGGCATGTAGACAAAACAGAGGCCTGAAGCAGGAAACAGTTGCTTCTCATATGAGAGAAATGTACAATTACCTACTAATGTTTTGTCTAATGGCCGAATGCCCCATGATGTTTTCTGGGCTCCTCCTTCAAGGCCTTCTACATCTTATTTATAGACTTACTTTAATTATACTTATTAGTTACCCTTTTTCAGAAATTTCTAGTTCTCTTTGAGTGTACAAGGAGGGCCAGTTATTCACCAAAACTTACTAGATTAGGAATTCCACCAAGATCATGAACACATGTTGATATGAAAGTAATCCACTGTATTTGGCTTTTGAAAGAATGGAAGATCTCTATATCTTTACCTTCTGGTTTTTCATCTTATCTTCAAATCTAAAGATCAAAGATATACCTTTCATTTTTTTTTAAATCCCTCTGTTCTTAGTTGCTCATCTTTCTAGGAATCTAATAGACGTAGACTACCTACTTGTGGCAATGTTGAAGAATTATTTACCCCTAGCAGTAGCAAAGACCCTTGATCCAAGGGTCTTTTGAAAACAGTCTCTCTAACTTCACGAGGTAGTGGTAAGGTCTGCGTACACGCTACGTACCCTCCCCAGACCCCACTTTGTGAGATTTCACTGGGTATGTTGCTATTCTTATTAGCAAGGACCTGCAACTTTCAAAGGGGTAACCAACCACACGAATCACTATAACAAACCCTCACTTTACTTAATGGATAGCATTTGTTCTCTTTCAATAAACAAAATGAGAAATTGGGGAGAAAGAAGAAAGCTAAATTTGGTGATGACCTAAAAGCCATTGGACCCTACACCTCACTGACCAAAGACAGAGGTGCATTGTATTGGACTGAACTATGACCACTGTCCTGTGTGACTGTGTCATTGACAAATATAAGCCAGTCAAGTACACATCATTTTGTAGCAAATTCGTGCAGAACGAGCAAAATAAAAATAATGCTTAAGGAGGAAATACAAGACACAGAAACCCAAACAGTTTCCTTTCAAGAAGCAAATATACTTCTACAAAGACTGGTTGCATACTTTCTAGCTAAAATTCCAGCTAAGACGAAGACTAAACTCCTATCAGCAAGATGTAGAAGAGAAGAGGAAGATGAAGGAACCATAGAGGATGTGCAACTGCATGTTAATGGCAACTGAAATTGAAATTTCAGCTAAGACGAAGACTAAACTCCTATCAGCAAGATGTAGAAGAGAAGAGGAAGATGAAGGAACCAGAGAGGATAAGCCAATCACAACTTGTTGTAAGATCAACAAATTAGAAAGAAAGGCATGTGATCATGACAACGAAATTCAGTTCATAAGTGATCTTTAGAATTACTACCGAGAAAATTGGCTAGAAACAGTAATCAGTTACGTCTGCAAACCACAATCCAAGACTACTCTACCATTCTTAATCCAAAAGTTTAGCACCCAAGAGCAAATGTGCACTTTAATTTGTGTAGTGACAGGCAATTGTTGGACCTATGATTACGATTTATTAGACTGTATGAGTTATGCCTATATCCCTAAAATAACTGTTATGTTGCTGTGAAGGAAGAAGGATCACAAGGCATTTGAAGATAACCTGAAAGACAGTTCCAGCATGTACTGTTTGGTTTTTTTGGAGGAATAACAGCTATGCTGCGGTCGCTACCCAAGAGGGAAACACAACAGATATCTCTAACAAATCCAATTTCAGCAAATAGACGATGTAAAAGTTTTCTAGTATACTAAAAAACCCAAGGTGCCAAGATAAACACACAAACCTTGAAGTATCAGGCACCAAACATTAGATAGATAAACACACAAACCTTAGAAGTATCATGCACCAAACATCTATGAAGAAAGTAATCAAGACAAGCATTTGCAGTCTGTCTTTAAAACAAAGAGTTTAAATACCCTAGAGTATTAAATGTGCCACACGCTTCTGCTCAGGGAAGCTTTGACCTTTCAATACATCACAAGAGGTCTTCATTGTCAGACTGAATCCTGCAAAATAATGTAATGTTTCCATGAAATTGAGAAGACTTTTAAGAGAAAATAAATTGGCACAAGGGATCAACACCTAAACTTCAGTGAACTACCTTCAATCAAAAACTTACTGAGCTAAAGGACTTCTAGCGCAACATAGCTAATTAATTGGACCATGAAGGATCTTTGACTTGCTTGATCTTCCTTCCGTTCTTCCGCAACCATTTCCCTTTCATTTTTGACAGGTAAAGCAATCCACTCATGTGCAGAAGAGATGCAATCCGCATTCTATATTTAGATTTTGCCCTTGAGATCCTTCTTTTTCCATCTTTGGGCTTTCTCTTCCATAAATTGGATGACTCCTCACAAGCATCTCCAACACAATTATTTGTCCATCTATCAGGTAAAACAAGGCTCTCTTTGTAATAACTAACATAACGCGGATTGTAACACCAATCATTTGATAAGTTACCAACGTCGGCATCTTTAAACCTTTCACCTGTATGATCAACTGAAACCAATAATCTTCGGTTACCTTCCCATAAGATTTCACCATTTTTTCTTATAGCCATTGGCTTCAGAAACTCATTAGCAATCTCAAAATCAGTTGGAGCAGCGTTTCCGGAATAAGGTGTCCAAAAAATGTCATCACGAAGAGGAATATGTTGTGCAAACTGATTATTTTGGATGCTGAACTGTTTCACCCATGAGTCTGGTGCACCATACTCTTTCATCATCCAAATATCAATAGGTTTGCGTTTGTCATAGTTATTATCAACCAAACAAAGAGATTCCTCTGACACAAAAAGGAACATTTCATCATAGAATGATCGTGACTCATTGATTAAACTACTCGGCAAGATCATCTCTGAGAATGTCTCATCATGCATGTTGAATAAAACAATCACACTCACCAATGATGATACATCCCATTTGGAAGCAATCCAATGAGAAGCTCCATTCACATATGCCTGTGATGTAGTGGCAAGGAATAGGTAAGACAGAGAGACATGGCTAATGTCTTCCCAAACACCAGTGCTTAACTTATAAAGATCAACATGAGGTGGCGACGGATGAGACCAAGTGTGTACTACTCTTACCACCTTGTAGTCATTGGTAACATGATCATAACCAAACCCCAACGCATAAGCAAATGTATCACATTTCTCACATGTATAACCTAGGTCAGGGAGTTCTACAGGCTTTCTGATAGCTGGGTTCCAAAAGTAGAAATGATTCAAGTAATTCAATTGGTCGGCAGCAGCAATGCACACAATCCCATTACAACTGCCCACAATAGTAACGACACCGTTACTGCACTTAAATGAATAATCTAAGTGGTTATTTTGATCCAATTTCTCATTATAACGGGATAAAGCATATATATATATTTCTGAGTTTCCAACGTAATTCTGAATCAGGATGTGATCATCTTGTTTCCGATTGAGATGCGTAAAGATAAAATTAGGGCTAGTTAGAAGAGAGTACCATGACTTGCAAACACTTGTGCATCGAAGGATTGATTTGATTGGTAACCTTGTGAAGATCTTAATCATCAAGTCTTCTGGCACATAATCCGACATTTCTCTGCCGCGCAAATCTGTTCAACTGAATTGAATCTCTCTGTTCTTCGAGAGCTAAAAAAACTAACTCCACTCTTCTACACCTTCGTGGTTGAACCCTAAAATCTACTGCTAATTTACTATTTCTAGTTTAGCACAAAACTTTTTTGAAGTACAATGTGGTACTTTCGGGAACAAAAAAGGTTAAATTGATAGAGAAATGTCATTTATTGATCTATTGGCCCCAAAATATTCTTGACGTCAATATTTGTATCCTTTTATTACCTTTATTAGATTCACCGCACGTGCGTAGCACGTGTATGTCTATTCTTAAGATTCGTGCAACTGTGAAATAACGTGACGTCAATACTTTATATAATTTGTAAGTTGCTAAGCTTGAATCAACATTTGTGTTTCGGATATACGTAAAGAAATACAAGTACCTTTCAATAGTACCAAGTCACTTGGATCCTAATTTTTAATAGTATCCTAATTTTTAATAGTTTAAGTCTACATGAAAGTAGTGTGTTCGTCCGTATTTACTTGGTGATTGATCATCTCTACGCTTATTCAACTGAACCTACGAATACAGCCAATGAACTTCCCATTAGCTTATCATGTAGTGCATACTTATTTTGTGGGCGATTACACACCTTGAATTTTTGGAAATAAACTAACAAGAAGTGATAATTAGGTTTAAACGTATTAAATTAAGTATTCTATTCCCACTTTATCATTGTAACGGAACGAAGCATAAATATCAATTTCTGTGTGTCCAGAGTAATTTTGAATCAGGATGTGATCATATTTTTCGATTAAGATAGGAAGAGATAAAATTAGGGCTAGTAAGAAGAGAATACCATGACTTGCAAACACTTGTGCATCGAAGGATTGAATTGATTGGTAATCTTGTGAAGATCTTATTCATCAATTCTTTTTGCATATAATACGACATTTCTCTCCGGCGGCGATTCTGTTCACCTGAGCTGAATTTCTCTGTTCTTCGAGAGCTAAACAAACTCCACTCTTCTACACCCTTCCTGGTTGAACCCTAAATCTGCTGCTAATTTTTGTGCAGCTTCATATCTCCATTATATTTCCAGCTTAACACTACTAACTTTTTTGAAGTACATTGTGATATATTTTGGGGAACAAAAAAGTTCAACACTTGTGTAGAAACATTCTCTATTGGGCCCAAAATATTTTTAATGTCATTTGAACGGAAAATTGTATATAATAACAAACTAATAACCTAAATTAAATGGAATAGCTAGGGTTTGATTTAATTGTGCTCCATAGCAAACATTAG